AATGTTCAATAAATGGTAATATGATGTTTGACTATCAGTCTGGAAGAAAATATTTAAAGCCCTATCTTATATCATTCACAAAAATAAGTTTTAGGTGGATAAAGTACTAGAAGTAAAAAAACTAGAAGAAAATAGATTTTTTTGATAATTTGAGAGGATGGGTGAAACAGTGGGATCATTCTTACCAGCCAATAAGTAAAAAGTGAGAGAATTTGAGAGAAAGTTTTTTTAAAAAATTTTTCTTGTCTGTTTTTTTAAACTGTTGTGGATATTTACGGTGGTAGGCTAAATATTGCCCTCCCCACCCCTCTCGCAGATATCCATGCCCTTATCCCTGTGTTACGTTACATGGTAAAAGGGACTTTGCACATGTGATTAAGTTAGATTTTGAGATGTGGAGTTTGTCCTGGATTATCTGGATGAGCCCAGTGTAGCTTAATAAGAGGGAGGCAGGAAGTCCGAAAGAGAAGACATAAGGAAAGAAGCAGAGGTCAGAGAGGAGAGAAGATGGTACACTGCTGGCTTTGAAGGGGGTGGAAAGGCTGGCAAAGTGAAGGTGTGCAGATAACCTTTAGAAGCTAGAAAAGGCAAGGAAACAGATTCTTTAGAGCCTCCTGAAGGAACACAGGCCTGCCCCCCCTTGTTTGTAGTTGTGAAACTTAGACTACTAACCTTCAGAAATGTAAGATAATAAATTCATGTTGTTTTAAGCCACCAAGTTTGTAGTAATTTGTCATATCACTCATAGTTTAAAGAGGGATGGGAAGAGTTTTTTTTTTTTTCTCCCTTCTTTTGGAGGAGGGAGATCTCAGTTTAAACTGCAGAGGAAAGATTTACCTTTCTTTATTATGTAGGTCTCTTTATTCTTAATTCAGGGAGTGTTTAGAGAGTGAAGTGCCCCTGTAAAGTGGTCTTGGGCTAGGGAGTATGCGAAGCCACTCAGTAAATAAGAAGGTAAAGGGGTTCGTGAAGTGTCAGTTTTACTGGTTTTTTTTTTTGGAACATCATTTCTATGTTTAAATGCACATGGAAAAATTAAAGAAAATAATGTGCAATTCTTAGAAATTAAAAAAAAACGTGAAAAGAAACTCTTTTGTAGGCCTTTTTTTAGGAACAGGGTTTGCCTGTTCCTTACTTAAGTGAGAAATTAAAAGCACAGCCTTCATTAGTTATTCATGGCCATGTAATAAATCACCCTAAAACTTAATTTTTTTTTTGTTTTAAAAGATGACCGGTAAGGGGATCTTAACCCTTGACTTGGTGTTGTAGGGATGCGAACCCGTGGCCTTAAGTGTTATCAGCACCACACTCTCCCAAGTGAGTTACAGGCTGGCCCCTTAAAACTTAATTGTTTTAAGCAAAAACATTTACTGCCTCACAGTTTCTGCAGGTCAGGAATCTGAGTATGGTTACCTGGGTGCCTCTGGTTCAGGGTCGGTAACTGCTGCAATCGCAGTGTTTTGCTAGGGTTCTGTTCTGGTCCAAAGGCTTGATTTGTAGGAGGATCTACTTTCAAGAGCTGTCACAAGGTTGTTGACAGGACTCAGTTCCTTGTAAGTTATATTAGATTGAGGGCCTTAGTTCCTTGCTGGCTGGAGGCCTTCCTCAGTTCTTTGCTACTTGGGCCTTTCTCCATTCACATGACAGCTGGTTTCTTTTTTTTTTTTTTTTTGTTTTTTTTCGTGTCCGGCAACGGATCGCAACCCTCAGTGTCGCAGACCGGGACCGGCAACGGGATCGCAACCCTCGGTGCTGCGCCCACACCTCGCTCAGCCAGTGAGCGGGAACCAGTCTGTATGTGGGATCCGAACCCTCGGCGGGAGCGCCATTGCGCTCCCAAGCGGCGCACTGTAGCAGTGCGCCACTGGGCCGGCCCCGACAGCTGGTTTCTTTCAAAGTGAGAGAGAAAGCACATAAGCTCGAATCTAAGAAGCCACTTTTTTGTGCGTGTGTGATCTTGGAAGTGATATCCCATCACTTGTGCCATATTCTACAAGTATTCATTAGAAGCTGGTGATTAAATCCAATCACACTCCAGAAGAGGGAATTATACAAGGGCATAAACACTAGAAGGCAGGGATCATTGTAGTCCATTGGTTTTGGGCTGGGGAAGACACTGTGGCTCTCCCACCATTATCTATGTAACTCTGTTGGCCTAACTTCTGAAATTATTTTCTTTCCTGGATTTGTTTAATATCAAATTGGCAGGGTTATTGTAAGGATTAAATGAGGTCATAGATGTATATAAAATGTTTGGCACCTAATATGGTCTCAAAAAGTACAAATCAAGTGGCCACTGGTCTCAGATCTCATTTTTATTTTTTTTAATTAGATATTTGACTTATTCAGAGTTCCAAATTTTGATATTCTGAGAATCCATTTTAGTCCCTGACTTGAAAGAGTGCTGATACAATCTGTCTCTAGAATTTTGAAAATACTAATGTTCTTAAATAATTTATTTTTGGTTCAGATGCTTGGTATGACATCAGATATCCCTAGATTCATATAGTTTTTTTTTTTTTTTTTTTTTTTTTTTAAGTACCCAAAGTGGTGCTTCATAGTTTGAGATAATTTAGGGAATTTGAAAAAGATGCATAAACTGTCTATGCTGTCTGGGAGGAAAAAGTCAAAGCTAAACTCATTTTACTGTAGTTATGGCTTATATATTTAAGATGTTCTTCATAGAAGTTGGCTCATATTTGATGCTAATGTGATTTAATCATATAAATTGGTTTTCTGTCTCCCCCCCATATATATATATATATATATATTTTTTTTTTTGTCTTTTTTCGTGTCTGGCAACGGATCGCAACCCTCAGTGTCGAGCCCGTACCGGACCAGGACCGGCAACGGGATCGCAACCCTCGGTGTTGCTCCCGCACCTCGCTCAGCCAGTGAGCGGGAACTGGTCTGTATGTGGGATCCGAACCCTCGGCAGGAGCGCCGCCGCGTTCCCAAGCGGCGCACTGTAGCAGTGCGCCACTGGGCCGGCCCCACATATTTTTTTAATTGGGGGGAATTTAAATCATTTCTTGGATATGAAAACTACTATGTAATCATGTAGTATGATATTATTAACATCTTAAAAATCACGTGCTGATAAAGTAATGGAATGGAAAAAAGGAAGCATAGGGCATCTAGGAAAGATCATGTCTGGATTTCTGGTACTGTTGAATATAATTAGGAATCTATCATGTGGTTGATTATGATCAAAATCTCTTTGGGCCAGCTCCGTGGCTCACTAGGGAGAGTGCAGTGCTGGTAGCGCCGAGGCCGCGGGTTCAGATCCTATATGGGGATGGCGGTGTGCTCACTGGCTGAGCGTGGTGCGGACAACACTGTGCCAGGGGTTGTGATCGCCTTACCAGTCAGGAAAAAAAAAAAAAAAAAAAATCTCTTTTTGGGCGATTGAGCTTTGGTTAAGAATGCTAATATCACAGCATTTTTATACTCTAGGTAATCTATATAAGCAACTGAGATGCCACATATGTTAGGTGGCATCTTAATATTTTGGATATATTTTGGAAAAATCATGGCTGCTTAAGAAAGAAATCCAACTCTAGTCCCCCAGAGACACAACCAACCAACCCACACCATTAACTTTCATTTGGTTTGTTTGGAGTAATTTGAACTATAATTTTATAAGTGGAAATACATATTTAAAATTTATTTTGATAAATATGATTTTATTTTTTATTATAATATATATGGTTTTATTATAAGCTGAGAGAAGGAGAGATGACATGTTTGTCATCTTAATAGTTGAGCAGTAGGAAGTAAGTATTCTTGAATCATCCTAGGAAAATATTCTTTCACTCTCGATCCCTTCTACCACCTTCCACTACTACAACCCCTGATGTCCCCCAATTATAGAATAATACCATAATTAGGCAATTGTAATTGCCTTCTGGTTGAGGGAGAGGAAGGAAACAACAAAATACTTTTTTCGTTGTTGGATCCAGATCATTTTCTGACTGCGTTTTTCCTTTCTCAGCATGCTCCCAATCTTTTTAAGTCATTGGTTATGGGAATTCTCTGACACTCTGAACACTTGTTAATTTCGCTGTGCTTGGAAATTTAAGGTGTTATATTTTCAGAACAAGGCTTGATTATCATTGGCCTGATTGGAGAGTTTATTTTTTATTTAGGGTTTAGTAATTAATTTCATTTAGTGATTTAATATCTAAAAATCTAAAGATTGATTGTATATACGTTTAAGGATCACAGGTTGTTTCATAACCTTAAGCCTCAAGCTATTTCTAACTCTCATGTGTGGGTCTTGTATGTTTGTGCTTCATAGAAATGAGTTTATCAAAGGTGTCTTGGGTCAAAATGGTTTTTCCCAGATGGGTTGCTTGCTTAGTCTTCCTCGTTTTTTAGATTACCTGTTGCACTAAATTGGGGCATTTTCAGACATCACATACAAATTCAGTGAAGTTAAAACATGGGTAATAGTTGACATAATTTTGGAAGTGGGTGAAGAGTGTTTTAAAAAGTTGCAATACAGGGGCCGGCCAGGTGGCGCACTGCGCTAGTGCGCCGCTTGGGAAGCGCGGAGGCGCTCCCGCCGAGGGTTCGGATCCCACGTACAGACCGGTTCCCGCTCACTGGCTGAGCGAGGCGTGGGGGCAGCACCGAGGGTTGCGATCCCGTTGCCGGTCTCGGTCCGGTACGGGGGCGACACTGAGGGTTGCAATCCGTTGCCGGACACGGAAAAAGACAAAAAAAAAAAAAAAGTTGCAATACAAATGCTGCTTTAAAAAGCTTCTGAAATTGGCTGTGATTATGTAGATTTAAGTGTAAAGTGATATTTGAAATCTGAAAATTTTTTAAGGCTGTTCAGCTTCTGTGCTGTTATTCTGTTTGCAATATACTTACAGGTAAGTACCAAAAACTCATTTAATAATCTTTCCTGAGTGGTTTATAGATGGTTATAGATTTTATAAATGGCACCTTTATGATTTCTTTTATTAACAGAATTCTGCTTGGTCAGAGTCGTGATGGCATTGTGTTCAGCACTGATGACTATTTTCACCATCAAGATGGGTACAGGTATAATGTTAATCAACTCGGTGATGCCCATGACTGGAACCAGAACAGAGGTTTGTTTTGGGCCAAGTCTCCTGGGATAGATAGAATATTTGAGTAGGAGTCAGAAGACTTAGTTTTTATTCTTGTCTTAGACTTTTACCAGCTGAATGACTATGGCAGGCCATTTAAATAGCTTTGAAACCCAATTTTTTCATGTGTTAGAGAGGGTGATAATTATACTTGCCCTACCTGTTCAAGGTTGTGAAAATCAGAATTTAGGTAAACATTTTGTAAACTGTAAGTAGTGTACCAATATATGTTGGTAAAATAATAGAGGTATGGGATATTTTGGTAGACTTTATTTTACACCTCATGAATAAATTCATACTATTGTTATGTATTCCCAGAAGGTATTTTCCCTGAGAATAATGCTAATGTTTTCCAAGGCTTAATATAATGCCTGTAAATCTTAAAAGTTTTTCTCACTGTTAATGTACAAAAAATCTACTTAATCCATTATGTAGAGGACATGGGTCAATTTCTTTTCATCACGAATAGTGGTTATTAACCCTGGCTGCACATTTGAATCACTTGGGGACCTTTTTAAAAAACTTATGCCTGTGCCTCAGGCCCCAGAGATTCTGCTTTAACTGATCTGGAGTGGGGCTTACACATTTTATTATTTTTTTTAAGTTCTCTAGATGATTCTAATGTGTAGTCAGAATTGAAAGCTATTGATCTAGAGCTATATAGGTAAATACTTATACTGTTATTTTTTAAAAGATGAATGTATTGATGATTAAACCAGTACCTTTTATTATGAAAAATTTCAAACCTAGATTAGAGAAAGTATAATGAACCACAAACACCCATCACCCAGAATATCATTTATCAAGATTTTGACATCTGGGCTTTATCTACCCTTTTTGTTTTTACCTCCTCCCTTTTTAAATTTGCTGAAGTATTTTATTTTATTTTATTTTATTTTTTGTCCTTTTTTTGTTTTTTGTTTTTTCCTTTTTGTCTTTTTTTCGTGACCGGTAACGGGATTGCAACCCTCAGTGTCGCGCCTGTACCGCGACTGGCAACGGGATCGCAACCCTTGGTGTTGCTCCCGCACCGTGCTCAACCAGTGAGCGGACCGGTCTCTACATGGGATCCGAACCCTCGGTGGGAGCGCCACCGTGCTCCCAAGCGCCGCACTCTACTGAGTGCGCCACCGGGCCGGCCCTTTTGTCCCTTTTGAGACCGGCCTCACCGCGCTCAGCCAGTGAGCGCTGTGAGTGCACCGGTCATCCCTATATAGGGATCCGAACCCGGATCCGCGGCGGGAGCGCTGCTGCGCTCCCAGCGCCACACTCTCCTGAGTGCGCCACGGGCTCGGCCCTGCTGAAGTATTTTAAATAAAATTCTAGACACCATACTTTATGCATTTCAAATTAATCTTCTTCTTACTTAATCACATGTTATTTAACTGCTGTGTCATTATCATACTTAAAAAACGATGATTCCTTGCCATCATGTAATCTAGTCTGTAATTGACTTTTTCCTTAAGTATCCTTTACAGTTGTTTTGTTTGAATTCAGGATTTAAATAAGGTACTTTAAATACATTTGGTTTTATGTTTCTTTTTTTTTTTTACAAAGATGACCGGTAAGGGGATCTCAACCCTTGGCTTGGTGTTATCCGCACCACACTCAGCCAGTGAGCAAACCAGCCATCCCTATGTAGGATCCGAACCCGCGGCCTTGGTGTTATCAGCACTGCACTCTACCGAGTGAGCCACGGGCCGACCCTTATGTTTCTTTTAATTTTGTTAATTTATAGCAGCTTTCCCACTTTAAACCCTCATGCCATTAACTTGTTGCAGAAACTAGGTTTTTTTTGTCTTGTAGAATGTTCCATGTCCTTTGGTTGTCTGTTTGCTTCCTGGTGGTAACCACTTAACTTGCCCCTCTTCCTCCTATAGTTTCTGTAAGTGGAAATTGGCTCTAGATTGGAGGCTTGATTGGATTTAGCTTTTTTTGGGGGGGGGGTAAGCAGACATTAGTTTGTCCCACCCTTAGTGATGGTAAGATTGATCAGTAACTTCAAAGGGATATCCTGCTTCTCCCATTATCAAGTTCATTTATCACCCTATATCTGATGGTTTAATCCAACAATGACTTGTTTCCTGAATT